GGGGAAGAGAGAGGGAGGGAGAGAGAGTGGGACGTACGAAGTACGTGACACGTGAACACATCGAAGAAATTGCGTCTTTTCGGTGTATTCGATGGTCTGTAGTGCTGCCTACAAGTCGTTTCAGCTGCAAGGGGGGGGGGCTAGTCATAAAGGACGATTTGTCGCCGCTCTTTTATTTTCTTTGTTCGTTTGGAGGGGGGGGGGTCGGTGCCGCGAAGCCTTGGGTGATGGGTACGTTGTTTGGGGTGAGGGTCTGTGGAATAAAGTAGGACACAGAACTATTGCGGCAGTTTACAAGGTCGTATGTGATTGGTTCTAGAGGAAGTGTCGGTTCACGTGTGACGTGTATGAAGAGGAATGCGGCGTGACTTCGACGATGAACATGTGGCTTGCCTCGTCGAGGTCAGTCCTCAATAACGAAGAGCTGTGTGGTGTGTGAACCAACGGTCTTCCATCTCTGAGGTTAGGAAACTAACACGAGGGCTCCTCAGAGCACAAACGAACTCCCTCGATTGGACGAGGGTTCCACAGGTCTCTTCTTGCGTGAGACGCGGACAGAAGTGTTCCTTCTTCAGTACATAATGCACGCACGAGACAAAACAACGTGTCCGACTCTAGGAAGTACATCATGAGTCGTGCCCTGTTTTTTTTTTTTACATTTTTGAAATTCCGCCGCAGGTTCCTTGACCAATCAGCGAATTGCGTGCCATAAAAATGTTGTTCTCTCATGAAAACGGTGTTTGTATGTGTCGTTTTGGCACTTTCGCAAAACTCAAGAGGGGAAAACCGACAGTCGAAACAGGTCAAAACGCGGCGGAACGGGGATCTCTGTGCCAGGCAGGAGCACGTCAAAAAAAAAAAAGCGGGGGAATCACGAGCTAAAGTTCAGCAGAAGCGGTGCTTACGGTCCAAGCCAAATATCATCCTTATTCATATGTAGGGCTTGGTCTCACTGTTCCTCACACAGCCTGCGATTTGCCTACATAAACTTATGAAGCCAGCAGGAGCCTGTATCGATCTGGGTTCCGGCGGTTTGTATCTGGGCTGGGGAGGGCGGAGGGGCGCGCGTTCATGAGGCGATAGTCAGGCGATGGGTTGCTTGGCTGCTTGGATCCACCTGACACATCTCCACAGCCTGGTTGGTGCTTGATTTCCCCCACACCACAACCACCGCGATCTGCACCAGGTCCTCTGATTATGGTGATTCGCAGCTCTAATCAAACGCGGTGACGAGCGGCGAATCGCTACCAGAGGACATGGTGCGGATCGTGGTGGTTGTGGCGCGGTTGAGAGTCAGCACCAAAGATGCTTGCGGAGATGTGTCAGGCGAACCCCAGCAACCCATCGCCTGACTTCGACACACGAACTCGCGCACTGCCGCCCTCCCCAAGTGTCGCTGACACCCAGCATCGTTAAAAACCCTGTTCACCGTCTCAGCGCCGCCAAATCGTTTGAGGCCGTTGATCATGAAACTTCGCATAAAAAAACAACTGCCGAGCACGGACACTAACACCCTACAAAACAAATACCATAGTGGTACATCGCGACAGCACCGCTACCCGACACCGCAACAAAGACTACGGTGAGTCTCCTCAAGCATACCACGTCATACGATACGCGAGGATATAGATTCCGAACGTTCTGGAATGATTTCGCCTTGAACCGAACCGAAGCCGTTCCATCCCAAAGCAGGAGGGTGTTGCGCCAAGCTCGTTGTACACCTTATCGGTGCCAAACTGATGTTCGACGTCGAAAAGAGTAGAGCAAATCGCTCGGTACCTTCGCCACTACCATGGAGCAGAGTACGTCCGCATACATAACAGGCATTGAAGTCATGGAAGATTCTTCGATCACCATTACGACGGTCGCCTCAGCGATGATCAAAATCGTAGCAGCAGCCTAGAAGACACCCCTCGCGGGGCCACCTTCAACTCTACTCAGAAAACAACAACGACCTCATGTAGCAGCGCTTATCTCGCGGTTAAAAGATTGTTCCTTCCGAGATTTATGTAGGTGATATCCTGCAAATGACTCTTCAGTGATTCCTACGCGGGTTGGACAGTTGTTGGATCGCAGCTACAGCGAGGGCCATTGACGAATGGGAGAGGCCCGGCTCAGCATCATCATTAGGACGAAAAAGATACAACAAAAAAGGCCAATTATCAAATATTTTTGTGGGGCCTGCAACCAGTGTGCGTTAACCTATCTTTAGCTGTAGCATCGACCGTGCTAACCAACTAGCTGATCAATGAAGAAACGGTTCGGGAAAAAAACGCGAACAAAATTGCAAGTCATCGATCGGGCTCCCACGGGCAGGGGGGTGGGGGCGCGGAGGAGGTTGGACAGTACTGGCCACCCTCCGGGTTCTACGCAAAATAAGGAGCAGCCTCAACATCACCTTGGAGAGAGAGAGAGCAAGTGCTACTGAGATATCACAAACAACCTGCAGTGGGTTGCCATTTCTGTTTGTGTGCATGTGCGTGGGTCACCATAAGATACGCGATTCGGCGAAAATCCCTCCAGAGCCCGCCAATCACGGTTGCGAAGGCAAGGGCTAGACTGCTGTAAGGTAGATTGGTTCTACATAGAGAGAGAGAGAGAGAGAGAGAGAGAGAGAGAGAGAGAGAGGTATTAATAGAAACCACGTTGACACGAGCATCTTGACTTCCAAAACAATTATCACCGCATCTTGGCTTTCGAAAACAACTGTCGCCGGAGGCAATATTCATCAATGTCACCCTATGTGTGGTATCTTCGCCGATGTCAACCTGTGTGTTGGGCTCATGTTGACCCGTACAATCATAATATTAATATTGTAAATACCCCCGGGTGTGGCTGTTGTACTGCTGTAGCCTTCGCCAGGTTATGAAGCTTGGTTTTTGTAGGGGTTACGGGTGTAGGTTGGGGATTAGGGGCTAGGGTTACGAAACCCCCTCTCTAGAATATTTCAAAGGTTAAGAATAATGTCCTCCCGAAGGCGATCTGGTGGTTGTGGCGGGGGGGGGTGTTATCTTGTGTCGTGCGCGGTAGATCTCTCTCGCTCTAACTGCTACGCCAACAACGCGGCGGAAGGGGCAAAGAGGGGGGCTGGGGAACCCCTTATTTTCGGAGCACATTCCACCAGCTCTCGCTTCTTGCATGTGTGCTGTATCACGAGCTCTACTGCACCCTCCCCTTCCTCCTTGCGCGCCAAATTAGACACCACCACCACATGCGTGACCGCGCCCGTTTTTAGTCTCCAACGGCATCTCGCGAAAACGTTCAACATCACGCTACAGACTGGTACCCATCAATCTGTCAATGAGCACAACGTCGACCTAAATACTGCTGCCTTTGAGACTCCATGCGCATGCCATAGCAGAGTTTTGCCTGCCTTTCTTGACTCCCGTCTCTCACTAACCTGGTATCTCGCTTCGCAAGCTCCGATTTGATCGATTGCAGGTCCCCCTTGAGCGCGATGCACCTCGACTCCGCAGCCTGTTTCCCCATGTGAAGCCATTCTTCCTGTGCCCCTCTCCCGCCTGATGCCTCTCCGCCGCCACCATCATGGCAAGTATCTCCCTCTCGCCCCCCCCCCCTTTCTCGTCCTCCTCCTCCTCCAAAACCTTCCCCTTGTTCTGTTGTCGCTGCTGCTGAACGCCCCCCCCCAGTGGCTGGTGCACTGGGTGTCCTGCCTGCTGAATGTACACTCATGGTCGATTGCTCCGCGTTCATCCCCGGAACGAACGCTGCTGCTGCTGCTGTGTTGCTCTCTTCCCCAGCCCACCTTCTCTATCATTCCCTCGCCTCTCCCCCTCCTTCTCTCTCTGGGTCTCTACCTACGTTTATTGTTATTCCCCGCCGCGGCCCCCTGCCCAGCCTCCAGCAGTTGTGGTGGGTTGCACAGCGGCAGTATTTACAGGTAGTTCCGTCCAGGACACGAGTGACATGAGTGATTAGTTGTGCGGGTACGGGCACAGAAGAATTTTCCACACCGATTCCGCGGTGCCTCTAACAGTCTTTCCGACGGTGCGGGGCAGGGCATGGAATGTCAAATCGATCACCCAGGTTCACCTTCTCCTGTGTCTCCTGTGTCTCCTGTGTGGCCTCCTGGGAGGTTGTGTGCGTCTCTCACAGCGTCTGACCCATCCGAAACGAAGAAGGCTACACGTTCATTCCCTTGTCTCCATCTTTAGCCTGGACGAGCGAGGTGCACAACAGCAGCAGTGTCTCTCCGTCTGATAATCCGTCCTCTCTGCACTCTGCACCGGCCATGATGCGGCAGCGACGCCGCTCGAAGCTTGAGGAGGGTCACCTCGCGGGTGCGTCTGTATGGCCTGTGCGGCGATATGTCCTGCTCACCGCGGTGGCCGTGATCTCCCTCGCCCTCCCAGCGGCGCTGACGTTCCGTCCGTCAGCAACCAGGCGGGGCGGAGGGAAGAGGAGGGCCAATGTCGACCACGATGCTTGGCTGGGCATAGCACCCGGGATAGCGGCGAAGCCGGCATCGGCGGACGACATCCACGTGGTGTTCTCGACGGACTGCTCGCCCTACCAGAACTACCAGGCCACCATGCTGTTCCATAGCGCAGAGGTGATATCCTTATCCTTGATGATGATTCACAGCAGCAGTACTACAGCTTCACTCCATCGTTGTTCAGCCCATCTACTGTGTAGCATATGTATTCAAACCCTTTGTTGAGCTGGTACCTATGACTACTGCTGTACAGCAGTACAGTACTCTAGCGTGTGCATATGGCATTACCGTAGTTGAAATATCCTCTCTGCACGAAGCCCGGCAGGTGCCTCTCTTTCTCTACCCTGTCTGTTTGCAAAGACCTATGCATATCTCGAACGGATTGTGCGCGTGACGCTGCCTGCGCATAATGATAATGTTCATTTTTGTTCTGACTCCGCACACGCTGCTGCTGCTCCGACGTGTAACCGATGTATTCTTGTAGACTAGAATTCTGTACAGCCAGTACATTGTTGTGTTCCAGTATTTCCTGCATACAGTGTAAGTACAACACAGAGAAGGAAGTGTCACACAGGAGATATTTCAATGTTTTTGTTCTCTTGGTTTTTGTTTTGTTGCCCCACATTTCCCCCCCTGCGGCGCTTACGTGCTTACCTTGTCATATTAATAGTACCCGCCAGGGGTTCAGCCATCCCTTCCCCTCGTCGACCGTGAAGTTTGTTTACTCACAACAGAGTACGTGGTAGTTCACTTTCAACCGCAGGTTGCTGGAAAGAAACCCTGGGAAAGAAACCTCAGGCATGCGGCTTTTTTCGCTTTCACCCGCGAACCCTTCGGATCAATTTTTGTTGTGTCCTTTTTTGGATACGTTGGCCTTGTGACCACGGGAATCGACCCCGTCACGTGTTTGACTAGTACGGGCAGAAGAAGGTACTGGGTAGAGAGAGCGGAACGGTTTTTAATGTGAAGACAACACAACAGCAACCTGCAAATTTGTAAATTCTTCACCCCTTGGGGATTCGAACTCACGACTTTGCAACTAGCGCTTTCGAGGTGTTACCACTATTTAGACCACCGGGGCGACCGACTCAAGGTGTGTTGAACAATAAACTCTGACGTCCCGCAGAAAAGTGCAACAATGGACGACGACACCATGCACATGAGGCGTGTTCATTGGTTAACCGGTTTTGCGCGGGCGATGCCCAGTCATTAGAAACACGAACCACAAACATGCTGCTTGCACAAACCGAGGGCTTGTGCGAGCAAGCCACGATGGTGGGTGGTTTACTTGCTGCTGTGTGTGCTACATGTACAGCTCAAACCAGCAGTGCTAACGCTTGGTGGAATGTGGTGTTCTCCATATCGGAATAACATTTCTCGGATTAAAGGGTAGGTAGGTGCAGCCCTGCACGGAAAACCTAGCTTGTCACCGTAGCACCCCTCACTCAAACAGCAGTCGACACGACGATGCAGGGTCTTGCAAGTGTAGCCTACAATCAATCTTTTGACCAACTCAAGGAAAATTGTTCCCGAGATATGGGTTTTTAGTGAGAGCGACAGGACATGTGCATGTATATACATACGGTGCTATTATTTTTCCGGAAGACGGAGATCTCAAATCCCAGTTAACCCGGAATCTCCTTGCCCGCTGGGAAATCCCAGCGAGTTCGGGATTTGGGTTTGAGGTCGTTTTAGAACGTTTGCTTGTAGGTTTGTGGTGTCGTCCTATCTACATCAGTGGGGTGATGATGACATAGATCAGATGTTCGAGGTGTGTGTCCACTCTCTGCTGGGCATCTTGAATGGCGTAATAGGCGGAGAGATGGCGCCGGGTGCGATAGTTTTTTTAATGATTCTTCCTCGTTTTCGTTTCGCACCCCGGTGCGATCTCTCCGACCGGTGCGATGCCCAATGTAATACACACACGGGTCTATTGGTGTTGCACAATATGCACGCACCCCTGTTCCACCTCCCCGACCGGCACCATCTCTCCATCTCTTCGTCTCTTCGTATTATCTACAAGCAGGCGGTCGTGGTTGGTCTCAAACTTGGGATACACAGCAGCATGTCGCGATTTATCCTGGGTCCGGCTGGGTTTGAATTCTTACAAAATAGCCACCCGACAATAGGGGAATAATTGTGTTGTTGCTTATGGACGACGAATTAAAATATCGACATTCCTTGTAAGGGACACAGTACTTTGAATGGTTTCTGTAAATATCCATCGACAGAAACCATAGATTTTCAAAGGTTGTGTATACATGCATTGTCAACCGCAACAATTTTTCGCGAAGATTCCTCGATATCTGTTGTACCTGGTAGGTGAAAATAGATAGAACTTCAACAAAGGTTCTAGCGAATGGAGGTATGACGAGCCGCGGAGCGCGAAGCGTGGCGTATTTTTCCTTTCATCCCAGGAGCAGGAGGAAAAAACAGGATCTACGGCGGGGATCACATGGTTGTGGCGAGGCCGCCGACAGAGTTGAGGGCAGCCGAAACGAGAATGCACCCCCCCCCCCCCGGAGAGGTGGCTTTTGGCATGTACTACTGTAGGCCCAAGCTTGTCCGAAAATCCTCTC